ACCGAGTCTAATCACACAGTCAATGTGATTGAGGCTTTCCGTCCTCTCTATACGGTCAACGGTAGGTTGTCCAAAGGGGTCAAGTTCAGAATTGTGTCAATAGCCGAGGTGATTGCAAGAATATTGGTCTTACGATGGCCATTCACTAACAATCTGGTGACGTAACCTCCATCCATGATCAACCGCTCATTCACCTATCCACCCATTCACAACCACTCTCTGTCTCTCGCTTTCCACACACACACACACACACACACACACACACACACACACACACACACACACAAACATCAACTATCACATGTTCATCATTTCTCCTTGATCTTTGATTTCCCTCACAGATATTCGTCTCCTATTCCCACCTAATTCAATCACTAATAACAACCAGTTGATGTAACACCAAAAACAAACCTCTACCATTTTGTGTTCTCATGACTATTCAAACGGGAATAATTTCACAAACAGCGAAACACAAACTCACATCTCGATACGCGTAGTCCAGTTTAACGTCATTGAGCATTATCTCCGGCAAGTCGGTGATAATTTGCATGTCATCAATCTGTAAAAAAAAATATAGCAAAACAGATAAGCATATAAACTATGCAAAAATAATGCCAAAAATTGCATCCCCACTTGCTCGCGAAGCAAAAAGAGATTCTACTGTCAGACTTTCTTACAGCGGAAAATCAGACGCACTTTGTTGGAGAAATACACTTATTCCCAGGTTCTCTTTTCTGGGGGGGGATGGAACGATGATTGCTAGGATGGAGTGCAGATTCTATGTAGGTTTTGTCGCGTTACTTTTCAGATACTTGAACGATTGAGAAGTACGGACACACACACACAGTGGAAAGAAAGCCTGATCGATAATATGGGTGCTCTTCAAGGCCAGGTTCAAGCACAAAGTAAGGACACCGTATTCCGGGAAATTAGAGTAAATTAGATTGACCAGACGATGAAGTACAGCAGTCAGATCACTTGTGAATGTCTCTCTTTTTCTCGTCAATTTATTCAACACAGCGTGCCCTACGGGTCTACTTGACCTTCGTCTGTTACTCGCGTGCATGGATCCGGTACAACCATGTTGCCGATGAATTCTAGACGAGAATCATATGTTGCAATTGCGGAATAAAGAACAATAGACCCAGTGGGATTAGAATCCATGCACGGAACCCGTCCACGCTTCTTGATGATGCAAACACCAGCAGATCATGTGATCGACAATAGGACATCAATCAGGAGTACGTTGAAACGTGCATTTAATTGGAAGGGATCATACTCCTCGCGGTGACAGAATGTAACCATCAAAATAGCTACGGATCATTGGTCACACGGGTATCAGTCAATCGCGGTTCTTGTTCTTTGAGTCACACGACTTCTGTTTGAACTGTCTGACTGTTGAGTGATCGATACTGTTGGTCCCTGGCTCAATGTCTAAAAACTGGAACGTGCAATTGCTTGGCTGGGGTCATATCAGGTGGCTGACTCATCACACCGATATTGCTTTATTTGTCTTAGATGTTATTAGCATTTTTGTTACCGTATTGTGCATATGGGATATCTTTGTTCACCAGGTGTTTTTATACTCACCTAACATAAGAGAACGTCACACAAATTTGGCAAATCTGCTCTTTTATTTCAAGCCTCTATCATATCCGATCGATTCGTATTCGGATCAATTTTGAATGATAGCCAATTGAATGAATTTCTCGGGTTCTCGATCGACAGTTTCAAAACGAGAAGCAATACACAAAATGCTTGACAATATGATCCTAGACGTGCACACATAATGATGTAGGGCAATATCTGAGGTAAGTTGATGATTATATTTTATAGATGCTTGCTCAATCATTATTAACGCCATGATAATTGTCATTGCCAGCTATTAATTCTAACCGTAAACGGCGATTAGTGAACTGTTTAGAAACTTGAACCATTGGGTCCCCCTGCACCCAGTTGATTGGAATAGACAGAAGACAAATACGATGAAAAATACCATTTTTTTTTCTTGAATCTCCTCAATTTCTACAACGTAAAAAATCTGGTATCTGCGCCAGAAAATTTTGATAACAACAACAACAACAACAACAACAATGGACAATAGTTATAGATCTATTTTTTACCGGAAGACCACATGGAGTGGACAACAAATACAATTAGCTCCTGTGGCACAGAAAATAGTTCTGGTGGAGACTCTCTTCAGTCGTACCAGGAATATCTGCTCTCCTGACCCTCTTCGAGATGAAGAAGCCTTTCTGCGAAGGACGCTACTGGATAACGGTTATCCAGAGAAATTTATTGATGTGCATAGAAGACCAAGATCACCGACTGATTCCGTCTGAGAAGTACTGGAGAAAAGCTTGCTCTTCAGACTCGATTTCAAGGTTGATCAAATAATGAATGACGTGAGTCAAAAGCTCACGGCGGCATTATTTTGCACGTTTCATATCGCACAGCTGCGACTCATACCGTATACCCAAAGATTTCGTTTGGACAATCAAAAACAGAGCCAGCCGCACAATTCTGCTTGACATGTCGTCTAACAGTTCACCTGCAGTTGCGGTGACACTTACATCGGCAGAACGAATCGACCACAGTCACAACAGATATCTGAACGCATTCCCAACTGGTCGGTACAATCAATGACGCAAAACAGTCTTAGAGGTCAATCTGATAAGTGAAATCCAGGGAAGTCAGTCACAAAACATCTAATGATAATGATAAATGGACATATCGCTGACCCACTGTAGTATTCGGAATAGGAATCGAGATCGAATAGAGCGCGAACTCGGAATCGGACTGAAAACCCACTGAATAGAACCAAGACAAGCTGTGAATACAATTAGTTCTATTCAAAAAATCATGGAAATAAAATATCGCAAGCAACAAACAATCATTGGTCGATTCTTGAATGTCCAATCGACAACTATATGGTTTAGTTGCTTTCCTTCTGGCATTCAGCCAACCCGGATGGTGCTAACTGAGAGCACAGGATTGGTCGGTTAATCAGTTTCTTAAGTGGTTACCTGGAAGCTGTACAGTGGTCCGTGCGTACTAGTTTCCCGATCAACACACCCACATTTGTCGTTCAGGTCGTTATTACGTAACATGAAACCCTGGATCTTGGCCTTTAGCGAGGCGATGCTAATCAAATTACACAGCCCAATCTTGTGCGCACAAAAGTTTCTGACACAATCAGTCATATTGCCCTGACTGACTGCTGTCCGTTGAACCACTGTAGTTATCAAAACTTTCTTGCACGAATACCAGATTTTATTACGTTGTATCGAGTGGGGGGAGATATTAAGACAAATATTACCAACTCGCAGTATTTATCTTCTCTCTGTCTATTCTGACGTACTGTTTAGATACAAGATATGCATGCTTTGTGAACATTACATTAAATCCGTTAGTCCAGAGCATCTCTAAGGTTATTTTATATTGATTGTCCAGACGGAAGCTATACGATTTCCAGAGTACAAGCAGACAATTGGTCGATACCTGTATAAGCTGATAAACTTCCTTTGTACATGTTATTTAATCCCTTTAATTTTTTTCTCAATAAACGAACTGCTACTTCTGTGGCCTTTTTCTTACCACTGGTTGACGGGCGATACCAGTGTGCAAGTGCTAGTGCGATTCAGTGTTTCTGTGGCATCCGTGATTTGCGATTCGTAATTCGTGACCAGTGACCCTACTTCGACTACTTTAGTGACATATCACGTGACATTAGTAACAAGATAAATGATGAGAGCACTGAAAGGGAATATGGGAACTTACTCGCTTGTGAATATTCTGTTTTGTTTCCTTGTCCAACCAAGCGACTGAGTCTAGCTGTTTTTTTGCACTAGGTTTGATATAGCTGAGCATCTTTTTTGTCTGTGTCGAGGGATGAAGGGAGAATTCGAGTGTGAAAAATGGCATGTGAAATTCAATGGAATTTAGTTTGTTGAAACCGGAGGAGATGCTTGCCTATTCGGAGTTAGTTAAAAAAAAGATTTCTCATAAAAATTGTAATTCAGCTTTTCCCGAATATCGCGGATGCTGTGCTCTCTTTAACTGATGCTAAATTAGTGCATACGTTTACAAAGTATAAAGCACTACTAATAAAATGACATCAGACACAGTTAACCTCAGTTTGAAATGGAAATTCGGCAATCCACTGAACCGTTAACGTGACCACTGAACAGTGTAACCAGGGATACAGAGACACAGAAGTAGCTGTATTTGATAATAAGAACAAATTCAAATCAAAATTCTATGGGATGGTGATTTGAACTGACCATTTTTACATTTTGCCTTCATGAAAAATCCTCGATTCATTCAATCAAGCATTAACTCCGGAGCACTACACTGGAGTTATAAGAGCTCATCAGTGCCGCATGTTTATTGTCCTGTCCAGACTTTGAAATCCGAACCCAACACATTGAAGGTGTGTGTATTACCACTGTGCCAACTAGCTCATGCCAATGCTGTCGTCTTCAGTGATAGTCATTCAGTTCAATTTGGACTGACTGCGACGAAGGGAGGCAATGAAGTGAATATCTATTAAGTCCAATCGAAGACCTCCCACCAAGACATCAGGACATCCGCACCGGTTACGGGCTGGCTTATCACAAGCCTACTAGGCTCGATTGGTAATTCTTAATTAATTTCTAGTTACTTGTGACTGATGATGTGGGATAATTGATATTGATTTGAACTGACCATCCTTCGGGATCCTTGTTAGGAGCTGGTTGGCACAGTGGTAACGCACACGCCTTCAATGCCCGATGGGTTCGGAGTTCAAACCCTAGAGAGTAAGATGGTGGAGCTAGTCCTAATGCGCGAGTGAAACTCGAGTATAGTGCTTCCATGAGTGTATGGTCGATAGTTTCTCTCCGTTCCATGTGTACCAGCTAGGCATCTGGGCGCTGACTACAACAAATAGACAGCAGTGAGTCAATTTTGGAAAGCCATTTTATTTCTGACTTCTTGGCTAAACTGTCCATCCACTAGGCTCAACTCAAATTTTCCGCGGCCAAGAAACTTTCCGAGGGTGGTCGAATATTTCCCTTGCCTTTCAATAAGTCACCAACGCCAATGAGGATTGAACTAGGAATCGCACAAAGCAGAGTAGAAGCGTATTATTTCTCGGTTGATCACTGATTGATAAGTTGACCAGACCGTTTCACGATTCATGTCAAGGACGAGCACCCCTTCAGCAACCAATTTTCGTGAGTCAAAACATACTACTCATAAGTACCATACAACGATTACTCACTACATACGCATAAAAATACACATTTTTGACAAAACAAAAGTATAATCAACCGAAAAATCTTTTAACATGAGTACAAGTGTGAAATGTGTTGTAAATCAGCATCATTGTCTTTAGCAAGTGTTTATACTGAAAACTCAAACCACATTCTATTCTAATCTAAATGACGTCACCAACTGATCCTGTAACGTTTTTCAAGCGATGTTTAACACGACCCAAAAAAGATTCCGCGTTATTTGTATATTATTTGTATAAAACCTAAAGTGGGATCGACACACATGTTCACATGTCTTACTGAACACAGGGAGCGATAAGCAGCCCAGTGATCAGGGTAAACGTTTTCTTTATTTGCGTGGTGAACAGCAGACGGGGCGAACCCCACAGTCACGAAGACCTACTGCTACGTCATGGAAACCGGTAACCTAAGCCCCGGGACTTGGAGTGGCGAACCACATGAGTCTCCGATAGGTTAGGCATGCTATTGAAACTGTTGTTCCACGCTTCGACCATCGCTGGGTTATAAATATAAAAACCGCACAAGCCTCACCCTGAATTTCACGCAGCATATGGTACATATTAGAACCATTCGACATGGTTTCAAGGTCACAAATTAAAACAAAAGAGGTTAATTGCACTTTTTTGATTAAATTAGACAATAAATAATTCTTGTGTCAATGGTTGTTTGACAGATTTGAAGTTTGTATGTCGATTGTGAAAAGTTCAGTAGACTCGGTGCGATTCAAACCCAAGCAAATCTGCCAAACAAACATTTACACAATTTACCTTGTCTTAGATGTTCATTCGGTGAACTCCGATGATTTCTAAGAAAAACTCGTCGGGGCAGTCAGCCTAAATGTGCTTGCTATCTGGTGGATGCCATATACCTCAGTGAGCATAACCACAAGTGGAATACTTGTGTATGCACACTTGTTCTCATGCTTAGATGTGGGTGCAATCGGAATGGGGGAGAGGCTAGTGGACCAGAACAATCGGAAATCGTCACACAGCATTATCCACATCACACAGATGCTCACCTGATTGGCAGCTTGTTTATTCAGATGATTTGACGCGTAGATCGCACCCAGTACCGGGCCGAACATCTCATGCGTAAAAACGAAACAATCCAATTCGAGGTCCGAATCCAACTGGCCATTACGTTGTTGATGCAGCGCGGCAAAGTCGTACGAAAGATGCCACGCATAGGATTCAACCAGACTCCAAACCATATAGTTGTTCATGATACTTTTGGTCAAGAATTGGGTAGGGAATGTGACAGAATGAGGCGGTATTGCGGATACAAAATTGTCTATCTGGAAATTAATATCGGTTCGGGAACATTTTAATGCATTCAATGCATCTCAATATCAATACGATAACCCAAATTTTCCAGGAAACCAAGTCAAGATGTCAATTCAAGTCAAGTCAGTAGTAGCTTTTGTTAGGCCAGGGCTCACAGATCCCGTAAGACCGCGCACAGATCCGTGTCACACCACAAGCGCGCTTGACCATATAGCAAGCAATTGCATAATCCTGTGGAAACTTTCCCCTTAAGAAAAATTAGACGTGATGAATATAGCAAAACAGAATTACGACATAAAGAGGTACATCCTAATAAAAGTTTCAATTTTTAGCGTGTGAATGATGTAGATATAGCTTTTGAAAATGTGTAATGTGTAATGGCTGATAAGTGCCTGAGAGTGGTTTTGCAATGAAATTATTCCCGTGCTTGTAGATGTCTGACGCTAATAGTTTCTGCAGGTTTATCCCCTGAAAATGCCGCTACATTTAGAGATGTATTTCAGAGATCTCGTCAGTAAATAAAAGGCCTTCTTCAACATACCGGAGAAATTCATTGGGGAGCAATACAATCAGTGGGGGTAGCACGCATACATTCTCAAACCTAACAATCAACTTATGAGGCACAGAAAGTATTCTCAATCGGAGTGAGAAATATAAAGGCTTTCTAACTTTAAAGAATATGTTTTCAACATGCAGTGATCATGATAAATTGTGTCATAGTACTACGCCAAGGTGTATTACCATTGCTACCGTCAGTATGGGTTCGTGATTGGTGAGAGCCGAATATCGTTTCTC